AACATGTAATGAGAACAGAATCCATATCAGTAATACTAATGGTATTAATGTACGGCTCACTTTTAATTGACTTAGTTTACGAAGCTGTTGACGATATGAACTTGTACAGAAACGATCAATACATGCAAGAGTAATAAAAGTAGATGATAGACAAGGTAGAAGAAACACAAGATATTTTCCAAGTTTACACCATACTGTGATTAAATTCATGTAGACAAATAATGATGGATTTAAATATCTCATAGCATCCATCATAAGAACTGTGTTCATAACATAGAAATCAGTGATTGAAGCCGAGAGAAAATAGAGCGAACATGGATTTTTTCGAAATTTTTTCTGGAGAAGTGTAAAAATGTTGAGTAATGAGCCAAGAATTCCACAAATATATAGTACAATCAGCATATATTTGTCCATTACTGGAAGGATTATTAAAGCTCGTACTAAATCAGATGACGGCCCAATTGTTGTATTAGTTGAGTTAGACATATTTTACTCGTAATGAATGTATGCTATATGATAAATGAAAGTGAAAGTTCTTCGTTCTGTTTTTCTATTTCAAGAATAAGATAGCGATGTAATTACAAAACTTTGAAGATACGTATAATTATGTCAACTAGTTTCAAATTACGAACGTTCTCTTGTTGACCGTAATAGTACTCCATATACTCTTGAAACATGCGTTAAATGAGCGATATTTGTTGATCTTGGAAGCTTCTACTTAACAAGTTGAGTAAAGGCTGTGGGTATGAGTGAAGAGTAGGTTCACATCTACACCCTCAAATTTGTTTTTTGGTAAGAATTGATCAATTGTTGAATGACTATTTCATTCTGTAGAATAAGTTCGGTTCGAAATTTTTAAGATTTGATATTCACGATTCTGCTCTATAAAAATTTTTCTAAATCTAGGGAAAAGATTTTTTCCACCAAATATTTGTAATATTATCTCTAATTAATGGAGGAGAGAACGAAAAAAAGTATTTAAGCTTGAGGATGGAGTCAAATATTTTCTTCGCTGGTTCTTACTTTAATAACAGCATTCAGGGCGAGATTTTATTATCTAAGACTTATCTTAAGAAGATCATATGGCCGTCAACATTCTCATATTAAATAGCTTATTTTGATTAATGATATGATCAATCTTCTGTATTCTGTCTCAATTTTGCACATAGGGTTGTTTTTTCTTCATGTAGTACATTTCGAAATGAAAACTCGTTGAAACTCAGTCAAAAAGTCTTCAATATCTGTCTCAAATAAGAGCATACATTCATGGCTTCTAAGAATATGTTTTGAGTTAGACATCGTCGCAAGAATTCATTATAATTCAATTTCATCTAATACTAACAAGACAGATATATGATATCGGGACATACTTGCATATATGTAATTAGATTTTTCTACTACACATTAAAAACTTGAAATGCATAGAAGAATTATTAACACTAAATCACTATCTTTTATTTTTTTAAATTACATTTCTTCATAGTTTTCCACCTCAAGCAGTAAACTGTTTTCTGTTGTCAGACTGTCATATCTTGTAGAGTATAGATCTACTCACGCACGGGACACGTACTTGTAAAATAAGAACTGCCCAAAGTTATGTGTACGAGGCCGACTTATAGAAATGACATCAAATAGGGCGAAGGGTGTGGGTGTGGAATGTGGAAGAAAAGAAAATATACACCCACACACCTACATCTTTCGTCTACTATTTCAGTTTATTCTTAGTATCAAGTGTTAATTTCCAAAATGTCATAATATATGTCTCTATTATAAAGAACAGAGACATATCAAACTCGTACTATATTTTATTGCTCTTTTGGATAAGAAAATTATTTCAATTTTAAAATATAATAATATTTTATCTTGTTTAAAGTACAACAAGTTATTTATTGATCTTTTTATCAGAATAACACTATACAAGTTAGAAAGTTCATTATGATTTATTTAGGAAATTTATTTAATATTAAATGAAGTCCTATTATTAGATTATCATTTGTTTCCTTTTCGAGTTGTGGTAAATATTTCGCTCGAATTATGTTAATTACTTTTTGAAATTGATGTGAATATATTTTCAGCATTATTTCACCAACCTCATCAAAAAAAAATACGTATCAAAACCGATGTTACATTTGGTCTTAGTGGTAAATTTAAAACATTAGTAAACCATTTCCATGCATATGATAAATCTTTACCAGATGGTTGACTACCGTTAATAAGTAATTTACAAAATAATCAAATAAGTCTATTCATTCGATTAAGAAAGTCAGTTTCAGTTTCTAAACGATGTCGATCACCACCTTTTTTTTTTCAATATAACGTAGTTTTCTTAAAAAGAAAAATTGTTAGTACAATCCGTACTAGATTAAGATGTGAAAAACAATATAGCTCCTATTGTTAATCATAAGGAGATTACTTTATTCTAACTATTTTGGGGTCTATTTCTCCACAATGCTTTTGTTTAATTCTCCAGAAGTGGAATAATGATGTAATTCATAGATTATAATTAGACTTAATTGATATGAGCTCTTTGATTGTATATCAACATCGTCTGTGGTGAAGGTAGAAGTTACAGATTTCTGTTCTATATACGTCAATACTCCTTTATGATCGTGTTTCACAAGAATCAAAGAAAATATATTATAAGTTATTTTATATATTTACTCTAAATGTTATCTATCATTCATAGTTGATAGCCATTTTGGATAGAATGGTATTGTATGTGGACATTTTTTATGTAGATAATCAAGAGAATAATGCAAAATTCTGGATATTGCTGATTTTTACTAAGATCACCAATTAATGGTAAAAAAAATTCTGTTTTTGTATCATTTAAATCACCATCAAACAATCGTTCAAGAATAAGTGTTGCAAGCTTTGATAAACATAATAAACATTCTATAAATATATTTATTTCAAAATAAGATAAAATATTGATATAAGAAATTATTACCTTCTTCATTTGATATACGAATTATTTGATTATTTATTGTTTGTTCTTGTCGATTTAGAAATTGAAATAATTCATTTTTTAATGTATTCAATTGTTCATTACATAATTTATTCAGAATATTGTTTATACAAGTTGTTAATTGTTTTAGACGTAGTAAATCTATTGTTGAATAACGGTTCTCATATTGTTCAACTTTTGATGATAATCTTTCATATTCAACATGTGTTTCTTATGTAAGATCACCAATATCAGTCATCGGTACTAATAATGATGCTTAAGGGCTAACAGATGGAATCGGTTGCACTGAAGAAGGTATAACTGTTGATTATGAAGGCATAAGGAGTGTAGATTTGAGTGTATAAGAACGAAATAATTACACACAACATCCTATTCTATGAAAATGACTGTCTAGGCACTCAACATTAAAAAAACTCTTCACAATCGCTGAATTTCAAGATCTTAAATTACTTTCCCAATGTGAAGAGGTATCGATGCGATCTATCTGACTAAAATGGTTCTAGAAGTTTCGTTCTAAATTCCATGCAATTTATATCTTTCATAAAATTGGGTGTCGGTGAGGATGTGAGACGAGGACAAAGAAGTTCTACATCTACATCCACACTTGCTAGGATTATCAATCACACCAAGAGTATATGAAAAGGTGTATAACGCGGTATGACGAAGCGCTCAAGGTGATTATTTAATTAAAGAGGGCTTGCAAAACGGTGAACGAATGCCTGTATTTTATGAACTTTTCAACGTTTAAGGCAGAGTTATATAACAGATCCTTAAAGTATCAAAGCGATCGAAAGCTCGCCAGCAGTTAGTCAATACGTAGGCGCAGTAAAACAAAATACTGTGCCGCAAAACACAATTAAACTAAACCGTTTCATTCTATCCACTTCCAAAACTGTTGGAAAATTATAATTACAGCTAAATGACAAAAAGAAAAGTGAAAAGTGAATTATTTTCTTTTGTTTCTCTCATAAGATACTCCACAACTATTAGCAGAGCTAAACCAAGGTAAAGAAAGTTAAATTAAAAATGTTTTTTCAATTTTTTCCAAAAGACTGTCGAAAACGATCACGATAACTAAACTAGATAAAATAAAAGTAAAATAGATTTTATTATATTTTTCTCCATAAAAACCCCAATAACAATCCAGAAAGCAAGTCGCAGAAAGAAAAAATACGTAAACTAACTTGTTCCATTCTTCTTATGAAATGCTGGACGAATATCACCAGAATTAAATCGAAGGAAAAATTAAACTAAACTAATTTATTCCATTTCTCTTATAAAAAGCAGAAAAATTATTTCCGAAACTAATTTGGAAAAATAAAACTAACTGATTCAGTGTCCTCCAATATAATGCTCGACAATCATCGAAATAACCAAACGAGAAAAAGAAAACCGAAATCACTTCTATGATTCTATTATCGTTTTTTAAAAAGAACAGAAGTGAATAGAATACTTATAACTTTTTAACGAAAAGAGCTGTAGAACTGCGGTTTTCAACCTTCGAAAGAGGGTAGTGGGGAAGGGGAAACATAAATGTATGAAAAATTTGATTGGTCAGAAATTAACCAATCAGGTGAATTTTCTTGTGATATTTTGAGATTGATAAAATGACAATATATCCTAGTTGATTTCAAAGTCTAAATTGATTATACGATAGAAAAAGTTGTTCTCTTTCAATCTGCATAAGGCCAACCTTGCTAGTTTGTTCCGTTCAGGAGTTATGGGTGTGAGTGTGGATATGGGGTGTAGATGAGGGTGTGAATAAGGGCATGCAGTGTTGATATGGATGTGGGGTATGGGTATTACTAGGAATCTTATCTCTAATCACATTCACACCCCACATGTTTGTCTCGAAAAAGATATCGACAAAACTGACAAGGCACTATTCTCATCGTGAATCTGTTCGTGTCCAGATTTAAGAAAATTGATCTTTCATTGAGTTTGTAAAATCTACATAAAAAGCAGACATTATGTTTGCTGTCGTGCATCAACTCTAGAATCTACGATATGGTCGTACTAGATTTCATCATTGTTATCCAATTTATTCTTCTCTTTTGCAACAGTTTCTTCAAGAGCCGTCTGGCTTTCATTGATTAGGACATGAAGAGTTTTGTTTTCATATTTATGTAGATAATTTATTTGTGTAGTCAACAAACGCAGGATCTTATTTAAAAAACATGTGCATATCAGTCAATACTGATGATCGAAAAAATCTTAGAAGTACGATAATCAGTTTTGAAACGAGAGAGAATCTTTGTCCACAACGTCTAAAATGCTTATTACAGGCTAGCCTATTGCTGATCCTGATGCGAACAGCGTCTCATTTGGAGATACTGAAGTATGATTTCGATTGATAACCACGACATTATCACGTTTATATCTTAAGCTTATCCAGCTGACAAGATTACTGTCAGTTTCTAAAATACATTTTTATTGTTCACATTCAACTACTCTACAAATTGTGATCTAACAGTGTTTTGTGTGTTTAATGGGACGACTCGAACTTGTCGTAGAATATATTTATACCACCACTTGACCATTGTAGAAATCAATTCGTGTCGAAATGATTTCGATGCTATTATAAATAGATAAAATGGAGCAACACTAAGTGTATGAATAAGAAATTGAGAGAAGAAAGTAATGAATGATTCAATTTCAAGTCGTTGAACACTTTTATCAACAACATAATATGTTGCTGCTCCATACACAAGATTTGCTGAATATGGAATTGATGTAAAGATGTTTACGATGATTTCTGCAATTAGCATTCGCATTAGATCATGATCTTTTCTTCTAACATGTGTTTGATCACCATGCCTTTGATGAAGACTGTGAATGGTAAGGAAGCCAAAGCTACTCATTAATAATGGTGGTAAAATACCAACTAGAACAATTTGATAAATTGCATAAAACAATTTGTAGAAGTCATAAAGACCACAAACACTGTTTCGTATATCCATAAAAACCGGTAGATGGAAACCTGCTATTAACCACGCTGCAATCATGATGATTATAAGTTTTCTTGCGATTTTAATTGAACTCCAAGATCGTATACGAACACTTGTTCGCGTCATAAAGAATCGATCGGCACAAGCAAACACGACTAGATAACGAACAAACTGTCCGAGAACATGACTACCATATAGTCTCATTTTACAATAGACCAACGATTGTGATTCTGGAGCAATATGATCAAGTGAATAGAGTAGTGGAGAAATTGACCAAATCAAATAAATAATCGCAAAAACGGAGAGAGTAAGAAGATAGGTTGAACATGGAGTGTGACGGTATGATCGTTGCATAAACACCATGCAATTGCACAAATTACCCATAATACCCATTGCAAAATAGGTAGACATAACATATCGAATCAATACATTCTGTACGAACGGTAGAATTGTCACAGCCATCGTTTTCAGATAATCTTATACTCTGTAATATGAGAAGCAATCAACTTCAAATGTTGTTGGAACACTTAAATGAAAACCAGAAATCGAGAAAGAAAAAAAAAATTGCTGAATGCATCATCATTGATAGTTGAGCATTCATCAACTATCATCATCATTTTTTTTCTCTGCTAAACAAGAATAAAGAGAACTTATTCTTAGAAACAGTTAGATATGACAAAACGATAATCATCATTTTTGGACATTTATTTGGGAAAGAATCAGTTGAGATGGAAATAATGAATGTCTATTTGTTATAAACAGGAACATAGCATGAAACAAGCACAGAATAAAATTGAGCAGAAGTAGGGTTTTCTAGTAGAAAATGATGTGTTTCTCAGTCTTTAGATATCATCAAAACAGTAGAATGCTAACACTTTTTAAAGAAGATAAATTACGAATGGCTAAAATTATTGTATATAGACAAAAAAAACCATTCAAATGTCAGAAATCTGTTCTTCAGTCCTGTCACATCAATATATTTTTCTTCATTATTATAGTTATACAGCCGGAAAGGAAAGAAGAGAGATAGAAAATCTTAAATAGAACAAGGCATTGCACATCCATGCAACTTGACACAATCATTGAAGAGTTCAAATGATGAAGATACTTTGTAAATTACATTAATAGTCTTTCTTTTCAAGAAATAGTTTACAAATTGTATGGAAAAAGTAATCGTAAATTTTGATTTGATGTTAATTATAATGGCTCTTTCAAATATAATCTATATAATGTTCACCATAGGAATGAGAACGTAATAACCATTGAATATCACATTGTTTTCATTAGAAAACTTTGACAATAAATACTTAAATTGATTTTTCTCTTATTATTTGCAAATTATAGATTCTGCCGATAATTGAGATTTTGGCAAATATGTATTTTTTTCTTTCGCTTTTCGAGTTTATCGAAGCAAAATTATTTGATTAATCGCTTGATCAAGATTAAACATAATGATCACTGTGGCGAAAAACTTTCAAACTGACATATCAAATGCGTACATAATACGCAAGAAAAAAGCTCCTCCAGGTGTAGATCTTATATTATGAATGGAATATTTCACAACTTATTAAGCTTGACGAACTAATTCCAAGGACATATTCCCTCGACTGAAGGGAGAATCATATGAAATAAAATGCGTTTGTATACTTGCTTGCATGTTTGCAAGCACGTGTTGAGTCACGTGCACACATAGAAGCGAGATAGGGATTTCCTATACAGCTTACGCTCATGAACGCTCATATGAGGAGGAAGATACTGAGAGTGCTCAAAGTGAATTGAAACGAGAATCAAAATCATTCTTACCTTCTGTAACATGTCATCTGGTGCAGTTTTAGATCAGCTATTCGAATCTGAAAGAAAATATTTGATCGGACTACTAATATGATATTGCAATTTTTCAGATCTATACAAAATGGAAAAATTTCTAATCTTTTGGTCTATTTACATTAAAAGCAAGATTTGTATGAACGAAAAAACAATCGATAAGAACAATTGTATATGGGTTAATCCGTGGGGTTTCTACCACTTTCGGAAAGAAGGGTATTCTGTGTCAATGTTCTGAAAGAAAGTTTTTTTTTCGATTTTAATAGTCTAGTTAGACGGGTCATAGTCGAAAATAGTCTGAGGTAACAATTAAGACCTTTTTGAACATATAAAATGTGAAGACTCACATCACTTTTTTGGGAACACTCTACACATATAAAGAGTATCCCATGATAACTGGTGATAAATTGTTAATCATATTTTTCACACTTTTTATTGATATAGAGAGCTGACATTTTTATCACATATGTATCTAATCAAGATCTTTTATTTCTGAAAGTTCCAGCTCTCTAGTGAAAGCTAGTGGTGAAATACATCAATTTTCGTACTGATTTTTGCAATAGTTTCATAGTAAAAATGTGTAAAAATCGGACACGAAAATTTATGTAATTCAGTCATGTCGATGTATTTCACCACTAGTTTCCGCTAGAGAGCTGAAACTTTCAGAAATACAAGATCTTGAGTTGATATATATGTAGTAAAAGTTTCAGCTCTATATGTCAATAAAAAGTATGAAAAATACGATTAACAATTTATTATAGGATACACTTTATATGTGTGGGGTGTTCCTAAAAAACAGCTTGAATGTCCATACTTTTCATGAGTAAAGAGATTGTAATTGTTACCTCAGACCGTTTTCGATGATGTTACGTTTAACAGGCCTATTAAAATGGGGAATAAAAATTTTTTTTCTGAAAGTGGTAGAAACCTCACGGATTCACCCATATACGATATTCTCGAAATTGGACACAATGTGCAGATTCTTCTGTTTATTTTGCATTCAAAAACAAATGAAATAATCTTAAAGTTGTTTACTGACATCGGTGATTAACTGTACATAGTAAAACATAAATTAGTCAAGCTTACAAAAAAAAATTGTAAAATAACATATACAGTTCGAGATTAATAATGAAATATGAACAAATAATGATAGTATGTTGTTTTTCCTCAGAAAGCTTTCGAACATTGGTCAGCATGCCGCTTATAATGTTCTCGCATTTGTTTTTCGGTTCGAAATGCTTGTCCAACTACATTATGTGCAATGAGAGCATTGACCGAATCCAATGCATTATCAGGAGATGGCAAATGACCACATGGAGCTTCAGCGACAGTTATCGGCTGGTCAGGTTTTGGCCGACTGGCACGAACAAAACCGGGATAGAATGTCAGCTCTACTGATCCAGTTACATTCGCACACAATTCTCGAATGACATTGATGTAGGCTACCGCTGTTGTGTTGTGTAATCCACCACGCACTATATCTTCGGCCAATTGAGCATTGAATCGAAATAGTTCTTGATGCATTCGAGGTGGAACAGATGCAGCTCGCAACCGAGACATCGCTTCTCGGAGTGCATCAACACCCGGTGTCAGATTCCATTCAATTTCACCTTTTCCACTAGGACGTGATTCAACAGATGCTTTCCAGGGTAAACCATATTGCAAACCAATCTTGTTCAACTCTCCGACGAGTTTCACAAAATTTAATCGTTGCTCATCGATAGCCACTGGTCGACCTTGTTCGAAATGCAACACCACTGTTCGAGGTGGAAGCATTGTCGACAGTTGAACAGGGAAATCGTAGTCAAGGTGACTTCGAGTACCATCTTCTTCTTCCTTTTTCAGAAATGTTTCGTCTCCACTCGCACATGGATCATCTTTTTCAGATCGAGTTGACAAATCTCGACCAGTGCAAAGTCGAATAACATCGAGACAATCTTGACGTTGAAATATTTCTTCCCAAAAGAAAATTGGTGACCATAATGGTTTATTACCAAGATATTCATAAGCAGCTGTCATGAATCTCAGATTGTTGTTCTGATTCTTTGCTGATCCTGTCAGATAGACTTGTGCGTCGGGCAACTCTTGTGCCAAAGCCTTGACCATGAGAATACGGCTGAGTGATGAGTTTGGAAAGATACCTGGTGATCCTGGAACAATTACATCACCCATGAGCAATGGAATAAAGTATTCGCCAAGTTCTTCACACATATCTTTGAATTTTGGATTGGATACACCTAACATCGATAAATTCTGACGAATGTTTCGTGCATCATCGGCAATTCCATCATTGTAGATACCTCCGAAATTTAGTGTAAGACTCTGAACTTCAATATTGAAGAATCGAGACAGAATGAGCGGAATGAATGATGTATCAACACCACCACTTAATAGACCACCTACTACTTTGGCACCATAGGGATTGACAAGATCTCGTTGATACAATTCTATAACTTTAACTTGCAGATCTGGTCGTGAGTTTAGTTTGGCCATCATATCAGGATTAGGAAGCATTGTTTTTTGATTTCGAGATGACAAATAAAATTTGGATATATCTATGAATGGTAGATTGATTTCGTGTTGTTCGACTTTTCTTCCATGAATAAATGGTCTTTCATCTTCTATTTCACCATTTTCAGCATAATTTGTACCGTTAATGAATATCGAACTTGGTAGAGTGACTAGCATGTTAGATTCTAAAATTTGAGTGTATTTTTTGTGAGATATCATCGCTTAAACCGACTTACTTTTATATGTAAATAATACACTATTAGCTGGGAGAGTCCCATAAACTATAGTTCGTCATTCAATTGTTTACTCGAACTATGTAATCAAGTATTTTTTTAACATATTGCGTACTATATCTGACACAATATGATCATGAGGGATTTTTCTCACCGAGAATACCCACGAATAAGTTACGACAGAATAGAAGAAGAAAGAAAGAGAATCATCTGGTACACATCAACCAATACTATGGCAATGAGGGATTTTTTTGTCCTATGCTTAGTTTTGTCGCATCAATTAAGACGACATGGAACGAAAGGGAAACTGAGTCATATGGTCAACGTCATCAATCAACATGATGAAGAGATCTGTTTATGCCGCATCGAGTGGCGTCATAGATCAAGCAAGAGAAGAAAAGCAAAAGGAAAGAAAAATCATTTGGTAGCCATCGAATAGTATGATACTCTGAGATTTCTTTAGGCGTAGATTCCTTTGCTCTCCAAAAA